ATCCCCCTGCCTCTGCCTCCCGAGTGCTGGGATTAAAGGCGTGTGCCACCAACGCCTGGCTAAAACCAAATTATTTGACAGGAAAAAATATTCATAGTAATAAAAAAAATGAAAATGTCTTTAAATAAAGTATAGAAAAAACGCAGCTAAAAAAAAAACAAATTCCCACATTTTTACCAGACCACAACATTTTGGGGCCTGACTCCAGTAACTTTTGATGTATCATGCAAACATCAGGGGGCTAGTTATTTTTTAATTTTAATTTATGTATATGAGTGTTTTGCATGCATATATATCTGTACCATATATCAAAGAGGCTAGAAGAGGGAACTAAATCCTCTAAAACTAGAGTTACAGATGATTGTGAGCTGCCATGTAAGCTCTGGGACTGAACCTGGGTACTCTGGAAGAACAGCCAATGCTCTTAACTGCTGAGCCATTTCTCCTGCCCCCCTGGAGCCTAATCCTTAATGACCAATGATGCCCTACCCAGTCTCAAGAGGACCCATGTCAGGCAGCTCACCACCACCTGTAACTCCAGTTCCTGGGGATCTGACAGCCACTTCTGGTTCCTTTGGACACCTGTACATACATATCTTCTTATATTTTACCTTTATGATTGTTAATTTTGGATACTTTAAACTGTTAAGTTTTAATCCTCTTTTAGACTAAAAGGGGAATTGTAGGGGAAGCTGTAGCCACGCCTACTTAGGGGCTGGCTACAGGTGTGCCTGACCACGCTTGTGAGGGCGTGGGCAGGGGGATGTAGTGGGACTGCGTTTGCGCTTTCGGTTTCTCTTTTCGGCTTGCATACAGGCTGCTGCCACGCCCGCTGGCTAGGTCGCTCTGTAAGGAAGGCTTTTTCCTATTTAATACCCTTATATTTCTACCTGACTCCATATTGGTAATTTTCCACTATAGGTATGTACTCATACAAACACACATGTTGTGGGAGCTCAATCCAATTAGCCAATGACACTTAGGGTGAGTAGCCATATGGGCATGGTTTTCTCTGATACAGACTGGTGGTGAAGGGGGGAGGTTGCACTCTCTCTCTCTGGCTTGAACGTGAAAGGATTCCTGATGTACCATTTGGTGACCTGGTCCAGAGCTTTCTCCATCCTTTCCTGGTGGATGAAGAGGCAACGGTGTTGATTCCCACTGTATCCGTGAGTGTGTTTTTTCCCTATTTTATCCTTTAATAAATAAGTCTTCTTCCCAAGCATCCATGGACTTCTTGTAACACACACAAAAATAATAAATCTTTATTAAAAAATAACTTATTCCTACCAATAACTCTACATCAATTAATACAACTTCAAATTCTATTAACAGCTTAAACATCTCAAAAAATATATGATGCAAGCCAGAATTTCTCTTCCTTTGAACAATAACAAAAATTAAATCCAGAGTAAAGCCTTAGGGCTGGTGAAATGGCTCAACGGGGAAAGCACTTCCTGTGCAAGAGTTAAGACCAGACCCAAAATGTCCACATAAAAGCTGGGTGGGCATGGCCACCCACCTGCAATTCCATCAAGGGGAAGTAAATAAAGATAAGCTGGAGAAGGGAATTCCTGAAGCAAGCTGGATAGCCAGACCAGCAAAAGTGACAAGTTCAGCTCTTAGTTCATTGAGAGACCCTACATCATCAATACCTAAGGTTAAAACCCATACATTTGAACATGTATACATACATGGATGCACACCACATGCAAAAATAAGGCTTTAATCTCATTTAACTAGTTCTCTAAGGTATAAATAACTATATGCTGGTTACTAATAATGTCATTTCTTACCAGGATCTGCTAGTCCAGTGGTCTCTAAGAGTATGTAATCAAATTTCCCCTTCTTTTGCATCAGATTCTCTATAGCTCTAAGGCCATTGTCCCTGAGAATACCAAAAACATAGTAATAACTGACTACCTGAACATTTTAAAATAGTCACAACACAACACAAAAAAATATTTTCAGGCACATACAAATATTAAGTCCTTCTTAAGCTTCTAATAAAACATCCAACATTTAATAATGATAAGAAGAAAATAGGTGCAAATACAGACAGAAATGATATGTGTAATAAGTTCATTTTTAATTAAAACTAAAAGCAAAGGGGATGTTATCTTATAAAAGTCAGTATTTTGCTTTATAGCTTTGTAAAAGAAAACCAGTATAAATAATGTTCAATATGAAATTAAAGAAACACTGTCACTACATACCTTTTAACTATAGTCTGAATTAGAGTACAGTGTAACTTCCTTAGGGGGAAAAAAGCCTCTCACTATACAGTTCAATCCTGCCTGGAACTATAAATCGTTCTGCTTCCACTTCCCAAATGCTAGGATTACAGGCTTTTATTATCTGTTTTTTATCCTTATAGTAGCAAAATTCCCAAATGCTAGGATTACAGGCTTTTATTATCTGTTTTTTATCCTTATTTAAGGTAAAGGTTGAATGTTAAGGTAAATATTGAATGTGGTGCCTTTTGGTTAAGAAAATCTTTATGACTACTTCCTCTTTCCAAAAAGTATTGCTCAGTGTCAAAATATCTCATTAAGTTGCCCAGGCTAGCTTTGACTCACTTTGGTAGCCCAGGTAGGCCTTACGAGACTCCTGCAACAGCCTCTCAGGTAGCTATGATCTGGCTTGGCTGATTCTTCCCTCTTTCGTATGTGTATGTATATGTGTAGGCATGTGTGGTGATGTATATTTATGCATGTGTGTATGTAGAGGACAGATACCAATGTTGGTTGTTTTTCTCAATGGCTTCCCAACTTATTATTTTTCTGGCAGGGTCTCTTGATTACTGCCTGGCCAATAGAGCTCTAGGGATTTTACCAGTCTCCCTGCCTATCCAGCACTGGGATTACAAGCTAACACTGCCACACCTGACTTTCCATGTTGGTACTCTGGTCTTCAACTCAGGTCTTCAAGCTTGTGAGAGAAGCACTTTACCCACAGACATTTCCCAGCCCATGACAGTCATTTATTTTTTATTTAAAAGAGATTGACTACTTAGGGGCTGGAGGGATGGCTCAGTGGGTAAAGAGCAATTGCTGATCTTCCAGAGAAACACAGAGTTCAATTCACAGCATTCACATGGTAGCTTACAACTGTCTGTAACTCCAGTTTCAAGGTATTCAGTGCCTTCTCTGGACTCTGTGGGCATGATGCATGAATGTGGCACACAGGCATACATGCAGACAAAACACCAATATACATAAAATACATTTTTTAAAGAAAAAAGTAGTTGAATACTTGGAAATAAGAGTAATGGCACATTAAATTCAGAATAATCTTGTTTTACATGTGAAATGAGATACTGAAAAATAATTTTTAAAAATTCAATGAAAGAATATGAACATTAGAACAAATAGAAAATAACAGCAAGAAACACTTAAAGAAAGCACAATCTAACAAATGTATATCCTATCCAAAGATTATAATGGTACAAGCTATGCAGTAAATTCAGTTAGACTACACAGGAAAACCAAAGCTGGAAATATAATCAACAGACATCTTAAGTCAGCCAGTAAGCACAGAGTAAACCCACTCCTTACTTCACAGAACAGCAGAGGCAACCGTTTCTAAGTTCCAGCCACTCTTCATAGAGTTCTCCACCTTGACTGATAGATAAGGATTTCTCTACTGCACTCCCTAAAAACAAGAACAGGCAGTCTTTAGATTATGTTCACTAGCCAAGCAAAAACAAGAGGATGTTCAGAAACAGTAGATTCCAATACAGAAACTATAGCTCAGAACATGTATTCTCTCATAACTCTAAATCAATCAATAAAACTTCAAATTCTATTAACAGCTTAAAAGTCTCAAAAAGTATACTGATGACTCTTCTATGATGGAAGCCAGAATCTCTCTTCTTTTGAACAACAAAAGGTAAAACCTAAAGTCAGTATTTAATTCAGTAAATATTTAAATTATGGAACTCTAGATGATTTTAACTTTCTTTCTGTAAGATTTAAATAGAGCCAGGCATGGTGTAGGCCTGTAATCCCAACAATTAGGAGTCTGAGGCTGAAGGATCTGGAGTTTAAGATACAACTGGGCTCCAAAGCAAGTTCTAGATCAGCCTGGACTATATAGTGAGACCTTATCCCAAAAAATGTAAAGATGGGTTAAGAGCATTTGCTGCTCTTGCAGAAACCAGAGTTCGGCTCCCAGAACCCACACTGCACACGGAGCAACTGACAACTACCTGTAACTCCAGCTCCAGGGGATTCAATGTCCATTTCTGGCCTCCAAGGGCACACACACACACACACACACACACACACACACACACACACACACACACACACACACACACACACACACTCACACACGCGTACACACACACACACACACTCACACACACACACACACACACACACACTCTTGCACTTTGTTTGTTTTTGTTTTTGTTTTCCAAGACAGGATTTCTCTGTGTAGTTTTGGAGCCTGTCCTGGAACTTGCTCTATAGACCAGGCTGGCCTGCAGCTCTCAACAATGAGTGGCTAATTTTTAAAAATTTAATGAATAGCGGGCTGAAGAGATGGCTTAAAGGTTAAGAAGACTCGTTGCTCTTACAAAAGACCTAAATTTGATTCTCAGCACGCACATGGGAGCTCACAATTGGCTATATAGTTCCAGTTCCAGGAGACCCAACACCCTCTTTTGAGTCACAGGCATTCATGTGGTATATAAACATACGCACAAGCAAAACACTTATACACAAAAAATATTTATAAATATTAAGAAAATAATTTAAGTTAATAAGACAAATTAATAAACATACCTTCTTCCTCCTCCAGACTCTTAGTTGTCAGACTCCATCTCTTAATAGAGGAGATACCCTGAAGACATTTTTTTCTTCTCATCCATTATAAACTTTCTAAGTATACTGATAGGCTTTTTAAATACTGGGTTTTGTAGGTTCTTCAACCTCTTAGGAGATTGTTTTCCTTTTAATTCCTCACAAAGTTGGTGGTTTCTGTTATAAGGTTGCTCAGGATTCTAAATACACATTAAAACCCTACTTCATTTTGACAAAGGGGTTTTTAGCCAAAGTATCATGTAGTCATTTAAAAATTAAACTTTTATTCAATAAGAAAGTCTCTTAGTAAGGCTTACTTGGGAAATAAGTACACATGAGATGTTTATCATAAGAATGATTTTAGATGTTTTACAGTGTATCTATGCCAGGGAAAATTTTTAAATAGCAAAAGAAAAAAAAAAAAAAGATTTTTCTTTTTTTTTTTTTTTTGGTTTTTCGAGACATGGTTTCTCTATCTGTGGCTTTGGAGGCTGTCCTGGAACTAGCTCTTGTAGACCAGGCTGGTCTCGAACTCACAGAGATCCACCTGCCTCTGCCTCCCGAGTGCTGGGATTTAAGGCGTGCGCCACCACCATATTGAAATAGGCCTCATTTTTCATTTATGTATTTTCTGTTCATATTTTAGTAGGGTGATGATAGAGTATCATGTAATACTAGACTAAACATTAAAAATACTGAGGATGTTGCAAAAGGTAAAGCCATAAAAAGCATTACAAAATGAAGAAAAACAGTAAAAAATAATGTATATAACTAGTGTACAACAAAATACCTATTAATAAAAAGCTAGAAAATGAGTATTAGAAATCTTCCAATTTTTAATGGCTAAAAACATAGCTCAGAGAGAATATTCTTAGCATACAAGAAACCCTGTACCACAATCAATCAATCAGTCTCTTTAGATGTATTTTACTTATTATGTATGGGGGAGGGGCTTGTGTTTGATGTGGAGAACTTTCGGGAGTTGGGTCTCACCTGGCTGAGGCATAATCTCTCTTGTTGCCTTTTGCCACTATACCTCATACTACTGGCTAGCTTAATAAAAATTAATTCTAATTTTCTGAAACTATTCATAGTGACCTCATATTATAATACCATCTAATCTAATTTTAAGTACAGGGTATCAATTCACCAGTGGAATAAAGGGTCTCCAATATTACTGCAAAATGACAGTTATTGAACTTTACTTACCTTCTCCAAATTCATTTAAAATAACTGCAATTTTTCTATTATGCTGTTCAGTCAAAATATAGTTCAGAAGTGTTGTCTTTCCAGCACCTACAAAACATATTAAAGCAACAAAACTCAAAGACTAATTTTCAAAACATACTTAACAATAGTACAGAGGACTTTACAAAAGAGATTAGAACAATCTTTGAAAACTATCATAATATTCCTTTTGTACATTTCATAAATAATTACAAATAATCTTATAAGCTGAGTCAGTTTTCTAACTTAATATGACTAAAATATGTCTTCATCATAACTTAAAATACAGCAATAAAGGGCATCTAAAATCTATATTTAATAAAAGAATTAATGAATTATGGTTTCTAAGAAATGTCACTTCATGCCGGGTGGTGGTGGTGCATACCTTTAATCCCAGAATCTGGGAGGCAGAGGTAGGCAGATCTCTGTGAGTTAGAGGCCAGCCTGGTCTACAAAGCTACACAGAGAAATCCTGTCTGAAAAAAAACAAAAAAAAAAGAAAGAAACATCACTTTTAAAATAAAAAATATGTAGATTCCTTTCATGATGCTCCTTTTCTCAAGTAAGAGTATTTGCTTACTTCCCTAAACTTATTCAACCTATTTCAATATCCACGAACTAGCTAGCTATAAATTCAGGTTGACTATAAAGCTTTTAGTATGCATAAGCAGTCTATTACTTCAAAACTGATTTTATAAAATGGGGTACAGAGATAGTAAGTGTACACAAAAGGCAAGTCAAGAAATTCGTAAGACTATACTAACTTTATCCAGCAGGTGGCATAATAACCTCGTTTGTTCATCTCAAGCAGAAGAAAAACATGACTCTTGTAAACCAAAGATTTCAAAGTTCATAATGAAATATATATTTTAAAAAAAAATAACAACACCTTAACTGTACAGCAGTGTAGTTCAATTACTGCACTGTATCATTTATTTTTTTGTAGGCAGACATTTTGATTCTCCCAAATATTTACTGTCACAAGCAGTAATGCTAAAGATTTACACATAGTTTGAACATGTCTACTAAAATACATTTGCAAGTTTCCCAGGGTATAACTAAAAGAGAGTTAGGGAGTTTCAGGGTATTAATATCTTCAACATTTTAGATTATTTTCCTTTTAAGAATTTTTGAAGAGATGACACTTTATTTTTACAATGCTTTGAGAGGCTCAACAAAGATAGGTGGTATGTAAGGAGAGACAGATTTAAGAACACAGAACAATGAAGAAATTCTTAAAACAAGAAATTCTCAAAAGTTATTTTTTTTTAGAAGGGGAGGACAAGCTGGGTGGTGGCGGCATATGCCTTTAATTCCAATACTCCAGAGGCAGAGGCAGGCAGATCTCTGTGAGTTCGAGGCCAACCTGGTCTACAAGAGCTAGTTCCAGGACAGTCTACAAAGCCACGGAGAAACCCTGTCTCGAAAAAACAAAAAACAAACAAATAAACAAACAAAAAAACCCAAGAGGCCCTGAACATAATTATGTACAGGCCAATGACGAAGTTGAAAGCCATGCATGTAAGAGATTTTCTCCAAATAATTATTAGATCTTAATAATTAACCACTTTATGAAGAAGAAAAAGACATCATGATACAATTGACACTCATTCAAAAGTATCTACCAGGCACCAAATTTAAGGCTCTGCCTCTATGAAGCTTAAACATGCTAAAGGGGGCAGGTAGAGAACTTAGATATAAATTAGGAAGCTATTTTGTCACAAGTTAATCATTCAACAGGAGACACACAAAACTATGGAGAACTTAAGAGGGATATTTAGCCAGAGCAATTACAGGAAGGAATATTCCAAAGGGTACCTTTAAGACAGCAGTTCTCAACCTATAGGTCACAACCCCTTTGGGAATCAAATGACCCTTCCACAGGGATCACTTATAAGACAATCCATATCAGATATTTACATTACGATTCATAACAGTAGCAAAATTACAACTATGAAGTAGCAATGAAAGTAATTTTATGGTTGGGGGCCACCATGACATGAAGAACTGTATTATAGGGTTGCAGCATTAGAGAGGTTGAAACCACTGATTTTAAAAGTAAAATAAGTTCAATATGTTAGGCCATCTAACAGGCTATAGAGGTAGACAAAAGCCACATCACAGAGGTCCTTGAATTCCTAATAAAGAACCTAAACTGTCATCCCAGCAGAAGCCAATAAAGGGTGTGGCACAATCACACTAACACTTTGTAAAGATCAGTAGGGCTAGCACATGATTATATTACAGAGCAGGGAGACTCAGGTCTACTGTAGTTAGAAAGAAATACTGTTGGTGCTGCAGGTGGTTGGGAATTTCAGGAGCAGGATTTCAGGAAGATTAGCGTATGGAGTGTGTTGGACATGTGACGTCTGGAGCTGTCAGTAGGACATCAAAACAGAAACTATACAGAAATGAAACTAAAGGGTGGAAGCTGGAGAAATAGGTGGGAAGTAGGAGGCCAGTGGAGCAGTGTTCCTAGTATTTCAAAAAGAAGAAATGACAAAGGTGGCAAACTGTCCCCTAGGTTCAATCAGCAACAAAGGGGTTGTTAGGGTTTGTCCTGACCCCAGAGCTTCAGGCCATTAGGCACCTGAATTGTTCCTTTCACCTACCAGTAAACAAAGTGCAGAAAGGCAAAGGGGCAAGTCTGAAGTATGCCCTTTGAACACGGAATTTCCTCAACTTCTATGGAGTAGCTAGCGTCTAAATCCAAAACATTATTCCTTTATAAAAATTGGGCCCAAGTAAAATCTAAAATAACCTTGGTCTGACTCTAGAAGGAAAAAAACCTGGTGAGAGGTGCCAGTGATTTCTTAGTCATATGTAAAAGGTGTCCCATGTACAGGCTCTCTTGCAGCACACAGGAATGAGGGCACTTCATTCTAATTTGTAGTCACTTATTTGTTGTTGCACTCTGTTAACTGCACTGTTTTTGTCTTTTAGTTTGTTCTTTTGGGTTCTTGCAGCACACAGGAATGAGGGCACTTCATTCTAATTTGTAGTCACTTAATAGTTGTTGCACTCTGTTAACTGCACTGTTTTTGTTTTTTAGTTTGTTTTTTTGGGTTTTTTGTTTTGTTTTGTTTTCCAAGACAGGGTTTCTCTTTTCTGGATTGTTTTGGAGCCTGTCCTAGACCTCGCTAGGTAGACCAGGCTGGCTTCGAACTCACAGAGATCCACCCGCCTCAGCCTCCTGAGTGCTGGGATTAAAGGCGTGCACCACCAATGCCTGGCTTAACTGCACTGCTTTAAAAGGGTATTTGCAAATGTTTCCAAGGAAAAATAAGTCGTGAACTGTCCTTCAGAAAAACTGCACCATGTTCACAAATCTGTGTTTTCGGGTATCCCCTATGTACCCCCAACACCCCAGCTTAAGAAAATCTTCAAAGCAAAGATCTTACGCTAACTCGATGTCCTACAGGGCTTTGTAAGGAGTCCTCAAAAGGAAGGTGGGAGACAATTTACAACAGTTAAAGCTTCCCACTAATGACTGGAAGAGTTTGGTTCTTGTGAAGTGTAATCTCCTAAACTAAGCAAGGTCTGGGGCATTTTTCATACAGGGCATCTTTATTATTATTATTATTATTATTATTATTATTTTCTTGATCAGCTTTTAATAACAATAGATCGTTGGTTTTGTTGGGCTTTATTCTCAGATGAGAAAACAAACTCAGGTGACTTTTATTATTTTCCATCTAAACTGAGGTGGATGAGCTTCACAAAGGTAAGAAGGCAGCTCCTCAAGGGGCCATAGGGCAATAAGGTGCGTCTGAGTTTCAGAACCACCTTTGAAAAAGCGAGGAGAAAGAGACCCCAAAGCCTACTCGAAGACATTCGTCCTCGGCCATGGAGCCCGGGTGCCTGAAGCGACACGCCAGACCCCCCTCCGAGAGCACAGTTCACGGCGTTTTTCTGAGCGACCGTTAATTACCTAAATACCCGGTGATAATTGTGACTGGAATCTTAACGATGAAGTCAAGATTTTCCTCCTCTTGTTTGTTGGTCTCAATGGGGACCAGTTCAGGACAATCCTCCGCGTACTCCTCTTCCGCCTCCACAGTATTCATAGCCGGTAACATGCCACCGGCAGTCCACCGCCCCCTCAGCGAAAGAGCTGCCACAGTCGCCCTACTTAGAATGGATTCAGTCAGCGCTGCTCTGATGACATCACCACAACGCGACTCTCAGCCTGACTTTCAGGAACCAGCCCGCCCCCCAGCTACGCCCCTACGAGAGTTAGAAACGCCTTCCCGGGAAGCCACGCCCCTGTGCAGAGGTGGACACGCCCATACACGCATGGACACGCCCCTCATAGGATAGGACACACCCTCGGATGTGAGGCATCTCTAGGGGCGTGTCCTCCGAGAGTAAGCCAGGCTGCACTGTGTTGTTAGGACGCTAGGAGCTCTCTCTCCTCTAAGCTCGCTACTGTCTGTTGCTAGGGCTGAGGGGAGACAGGTTAGGACTTGGAGTGGCTTCTCCAAAGCAGTTCCCACAAGACAGGCTTTCTCAAGTTGACATCTTTTTACTCTCAATAAATGAATTTTTGTCGGGCGGTGGTGGCGCACGCCTTTAATCTCAGCACTCGGGAGGCAGAGGCAGGCGGTGGATCTCTGTGAGTTCGAGGCCAGCCTGGTCTACAGAGCCAGTTCTAGGACAGGCTCCAAAACAATACAGAGAAACCCTGTCTCAAAAAAAAAAAAAAAAGAAAAGAAAAGAAAAGAAAAGAAAGAAGTCCAATTTTTTAAAATTCACAATGAAAAATGATTATGGAAGTCATGCTAAGAATTGAAACCTTTCTACCGGAAGGATAACTAGCTAAACTTTTTACAATGATAATTACCTATTATAGTTTGTCTGATCTTTTACAAAGTAATAATTTATATTTGTTTTATTTATTTTTCATTTTCTCTATTTACTTAGATACCCGTTAAACTCGGTTCATTATTTTATCTGTTGGTTCATAGTATTCTTGTTAAGATGGAGAACATTCCTCTGCAGTTGTTTATAGTGGACTCCTTGGCAGCACCCCTAGCCCAAAATTGTTAAATTGCATCTCTTGCATTCCAACTAACTAAAATCATGAATTTGCCTGAAATTGCTGCACATTCCTTTACATATTTGTTTTGTCCTGATACACATAAATAATGTTTAATTTTGTTTTTCAATTTCATAAAAAGAGTACCATACAATGTATATAATCTCTTGGGGGTTGCTGTATTTCCAGCTTCACTGCTGAATTTCCTGTCAATTGTTTTCAGGTGTTGCTGTTTTGTTTCATTTTGAAACATTAATACATGCTCTCAACAACTAAGAGATCATATTGATCCAGTGCCAGTATTATCGGACATTAATCCCTTACCAATTACATAAAACTAATACCCCAATGTGATCTCCAGTTGCCTGTCATTGGTTTATGAGAAGGACTGAGCATCTTCTTGTGTGTTTTGGCCATATTTAATTCTCAGCCTTAGGAGGATAGTTCAGGCCAGATGGCTAGCAAGCAATGTTGTGTCAAAATGAGGCTTTACTCAGAGTTAAAAAAGAGTTTGTTGTACAATCTTATTTTAACTAGGCAAAGATAAGTTACTTTTGTTTATTCTGTATTTTTAAAAAATTATTTAATTGTTTCACCTGGTCTGCCTAAGGCACCTGATCATTCTAATAAAAAGTTGAACAGCCAAAAGATAGGCAGGAGAAAGGGTAGGCGGGGCTGACAGGCATAAATAAATAAATAGGAGGAGAAATCTAGGCTTGAGAGAGGAGAAAGAAGGAAGGACAAGAGGGAGAAGAGAGAAGAATGAGGGTGATACCCAGGGCCAGAAGCCAGGCAGCCTTCAGCCAGCAGACAGAGACAGCAAGAAAGTAAGAGAAGGTAACCCGCCCCAAGGCTAGCCTTAAAAAAAAAAAAAAAAAAAAGTGCCTAAGCCTTCAAAACTAACTAATAGTAAGTCTCTGTGTCATGATTTGGGACCTGGATGGTGGCCCAAAAGAAAGAGCCTGGTACAAAAATTACATACGTTGGGTGTTCGATGTACCCCAAACACTCATCATCTGACAGACAAACAAGGTGGTATGTCCAGACAGGGAAAATGAATTGGCAACAAACAGGTACAAAGTACTGGTGACCTGCTACCAAGTGAACAAATTGCAAAAACATGCTAAAAATAAATCCATTCACAAAGACTACACATTGTCTAAATTCATTTGTGTAGTATGTCCACAATAGGCAAGTCTAGAGAGACAAGTTAGTGGTTGCTAAGGACTGGGGGTTTAAGAGTCACTGCTAAAGAGTATTGTAGGGAGACACCATAACCACACCACCTAAGGGCTGGCTACAGGTGTGCCTGACCACGCCTATCAGGGTGTGGTCAAGGTGATGTCAGGGTGACATGGGAAAGGTTTGAAGGAATAGGGAACGCACATGGTAGCTCTCTTTTCCCTGCTGTTTTGGCTTGTTCTGCTAGCCAAACAGTTGGCTACCTAATAAATAATAAATATATATCCTGACCATCACAGGCTATGTATCAGTTATTAATCGTAATAGAGTACCATGTATTTTTTTTGTTCTGTTGGTTTGTCAGGCTATGTATCAGTTATTAATCGTAATAGAGTACCATGTATTTTTTTTTTGTTCTGTTGGTTTGTTTTTGTTTTGTTTTGTTTTGTTTTTCCAGACAGCGTTTCTCTGAGTAACAGCCCTAGCTGTGCTGGAACTCACTTTGTAGACCAGGGTGGCTTGGAACTCACTGGGATCCTCTGCCTCCCAAGTGTTGGGATTAAAGGCTTGTGCCACCATTGCCTGGGAAGTACCATGTATTTTTATGATAATAAGAATGTTCCAAATTTGATTATCATTATGTTAAAACAACTCTGAATTCACTGAAAAACATTGCATTGTGCACATTGGTCAATTTTATCTCTTAACTGTTTTTTGTTTGTTTTAGTTAAGGGCCATCATGTGCTCAAATGTTAGGAAGTTTTTTGTTTTGTTTTTCACAGAGAATTGGTGACTTTATCAGCTTAAAGTTCTGACCTCAGGTACAAACATAAAGCTTACAGTTTGGTAAAATTGTTCTTTTAGTCTTTTTGCATATTCTTCTCCAATAAATTAATTATCCATTGACTCTATGAATCTATTTTCTCACTCTGGTAACCAAGCAGAATTTATCAAGCATATTTCTAAAGAAGGAGGTCTTAATCTATTACATCTAAGACTCACAGCCTCATTTCTCCTACGTAGCTAGGTCTATCATTTCTAGCACAGCGGAAGAGTTACCATTTTTCTAGGTGAGCCTTTGTTATTGTTGTTTAATTCAAAATGTCTTTTAATAAGAATGTAAAAACAACTCCCACATATAATATGGTAGACTGTAGCAGTTTGTCATTTATCTTAAAATTCTCCCCACACTTAGCTTTGTTATTTTTTGTTTCATCTCAATAAATTTATGGTAAGATAATAAGAGCAATAATTACAATGTGTGGAGTCCTTGCTATCTAATGAATATTATATTAAGCATATTAAACATGTATAACTCTATGATAAATACTGCTTATGTGCCCACTTCATAGAAGGGAAGCTAAACTTAGGAAATGAAATATCTTGCTCAAGGTCATGCAAACAGTGACAGTTTGTGACTCACTCCAGATCTGCCTTACCAGAAACACTTCCATGTTCTGCCAAGCCAAGGATCGGCAAACTTTAAAAACAACAAAATAAAACAAGCAGGTAATAAACACTTTAGACTTAACAGACCCAAAGGCAAACATGAAGGCAATGTGTTTGTGTAATAAAGGAGACATTTCTAGAACCTCTAAATTTTAAATTTCAGTTTATTTAAAAATATGCAAGCCATTCTTAACTTGTAGTCCATACAAAAACAAGGGAGGCAGGCAGCAGGCTATGGTTTATCAAGTCCTGATATAATGTAATGTAATATTTTCTTGCACTGTGCTAAAGTTTAGTGAAAAGAACTCACTATCTTGAATTTGAGTTATAAATCTCTCCGCATTCAGCAGTTTTGTGCACCACAATTACTCTAAACTTAGTAACCTCCAGAAGAGGGGCTGAATCTCAGAAGGGTAAATTATTAGGTTATTCTTGCCCAGCTAGGGAGAGACCTAAGTTGGATACTATGTGATCTTTTCACATTAGGATCCCTGTTAGTGAGGAGCAAAACAGACAAGCTCCCAGGGAGTCTAGACTATAGCAGCTCAGCTTTCTGACAATCACCCTGCTGTCCCAAAGTCCCTGAGCATATTTCCCTGTCACTCCCCATTGCTTCATTTTTCTTCTTTGAATAATTATATCTGTCACCACGAGAAGATCTAAACCATGACAATATCTAATCCAGAGGAAAAATAATGCCAACTTGCCTTTCTTTTTTCTCTGTTTTGCAACTTCCTGCACAGGCACCCTCATGGCCAGCAATAGCTTCTGGGCTTAAAGAAAAGGAAACAGAGTTTCACAATCACACTTCTTCTTAGCAAGTAAATAAACAAAATATTTTTATAAATATCTAATGTTTACCAGTTTGATACATTTTTGAGGACATATCTGAAAGGCCTAAGAGGAATGGCAGCTATTCTTGTGACTAGTTAAAGTTGATTCTTGGTATTCGGTACTTGATAATCTTGTGCTAAAACACACAACCACTCTAAAGAAATAATCCCTCCTCACTAGAATATTAAAATTGGCTGGCAGGTGGAATATCTATATTTTCATGTTTTAGGAGATATTGTAAGGATTCAGGCATTATGCTGGCTTGCCCCTGTCACCTGGCAGAATGCACTCAGGCAGTACCCTGGTCAGCTCAGGGTTCCATGGTTGCTTGGTATGCTCGCAGTTGCAAAGGACCCCTTTAAAAGAAAGATCTCCTTCAGGAGGTGGTGGCACATGCCTTTAATCTCAGCACTCGGGAGGCAGAGGCAGGCAGATCTCTAAGAGTTTGAGACCAGTCTGGTCTACAAGAGCTAGTTCCAGGATAGGCTCCAAAGCCATAGAGAAACCCTGTCTCAAAAAACAAAACAAACAAACAAAAAACCAAAAACAAAAAAAGAAAGATCCCTGCCCACTTATGTCCCCCCTCTTCCTGCTGTTCTCCTGGGGCAGACAGGATTTTCATGTCTCCCTCTTCTCTTTTGTCCTCTCTGTGTCTCTGTGTCTCTTTATCTCTTTTCTGTTTCCTCCCTGCTCA